TGAATGAAGCAACATACTCTTCACAGCTGAGTCCTGCTTTAGTGTACAACCTGACAATAAGCGGATTCTTATCTTGAGGGAGCCTGGTACATGAAATACTCCTGCTACTACGAACATTCTCCTACCTCTGTAACTATGACTGCAACTTTAATGGTTTTGATTTTGGATTGTAGTTGCGTCAATTTTGTGTGCATACCATTCTTTGTAAATTGCTCTAAAATGAGGTTGTAACTTTAATGATTTATTAAATGTTTTTAAAATATTAGATCACCATTGTGAATTCTGATGAATTTTAGATTTAAGCAAAGATATTTGCCATCTACAGACTCATTTACTGAAACAGTAAAAGAAACCTCAAGGTGAGTATTCACCATTCCTTTATTGAACACTTCTATTTGTGCATAAAACTGTTCGAGTGGTATTTCTGGGCCAGTATTTCTATCAATATCCACATGGATCTGCACATTATCAGGAATGGAGCAGTATTGGCTTAGCAATATATGAATGAGATCCTCAGACTTGTTGTTGCCCTTTATGCTGGAGCGAGCAGGGATGAAGTCATTTTCATGGATGATAATGACATACCACATCATGCTCAGTTAGTGAATAATTTCCTTTTCAACGAAGAAATCCTTTGAATGGATTGGCAGCATGTTCCTCAGATAATAACCCATTAGAACATGTTTTGGACATTATAGGAAGAAGAGTTGCTAGCTCCTTATCTCTCTCAGAAACAATTCAGCAGTTTGGCAGCTCTCTACTATACAAGTGGAAAGGAATACTCAGTCCCTTATTGGTACCTTATTTATTCCATGCCTCATTAACTGTGCAACACTGTTTTCGGTCAGGTGGAACTATACCCCTTATTAAAACTTATTTGTATCAGAGAAATCACATGTTCTGTTTGTATAATATGCATATATTGTGCATTTTTGTTTACCGACAAATACCATTAGTAAAATTTAATTATTCCCTGTTCATTGCTTCCTTTCCTTTTCTCATATCTTAAAACACCTATACATCACGTATCAGTCACATTTCTTCATCTGCAATTTACATCCAAAATCATAATATTCCCTAACTGTTTTGAGCAGTGTAGAAATGGTTAAATTTAATGGGGAAGTGAAAGATTGGCTCATGTTTTGCATTCAGTTCAGAATTCATGATAAGTCAACTGGATTGGGTGTGAAGATAAAATTTCTATACACGACAGCTGGCAGTAGAGCATAAGAGATTGTAGCCAGCTATCCACCAACTATTGATAATTATGCAAAAGCTTAAAAATGAGGTTTGGCCAGGAACAGCTACTTGTTGAGTATTATGTTCAAGAATTGCTAGCATTGGTAATAAAAATGCTCTGAATGTGAAAGCAAAGAAGCTCTATGATAGACTGGAGTCACATTTGAGGTTTTTAGAGCTGACTGGCATAATTGCTGACAACTATTCCCACCATGCTATTCCTGTTGCTAGAACAATGCATTCCTAAAAATGTGTTAAGGATGTGGCAGAGTATTTGCATTTTGACATTTGCATGAAGTATCCATGTTCGCTGTGCTGTACCTGTGCATGCTGGCTATAGTGCAAGTATAAAGACTTGAACTTTTCACTGAGAGATTCCCTTGCATCTGCACTTCACTGTTAAGGCTTGTTCATGGTCAACATTTGGCGTCGGCTTATCACCATGTATTTAGTTTTGCATTTTACCTTTTAATTTTAAACAAAGTTAATTTTACATTTTGCCAAAGTTTTCGACCTTCCTTTAATTCTTTGAAAACCATAACGCCTCAGACAGCCTTTCATTCAAATGATCACAACCGCCCGAAACTGACAAAATTACGATGTTGTTTTCTTCCTCCCCTAAGGCATGTAGTAGCAAGTGCAGTTTTCCCAAATGCATTGTATCAGTTTATTGCAGACAGCTTGTCCTAAAAGGATTTATTTGTGGTTTCTTATCTTTATTTGTTAGGAAGTAGAAAGGATGTCATTTGAACTCTTCACTCTTCTTTCTGCGTTAATGAATGGGGAGAAGTGGAAATTGCTATGACTCTTGAAAACCATTTCAGCCAGTTCAGTATTTTTAAGCATGCAGGTTAGCGAAGGCTTCGGTTTTCAAAGAGTTAATGAACCTTCTAACCAGTTTGAAGTCTTGTAGCATAAACCGTCAACACAAGGGTATGGCTACACAATCCAGTGATCAAAAAAGAAGAAAACAAAACTCTTATGGTGATAAAGTAACCCAGTTGCTGTTGTTTCTTTGAAAAGCAAAGAACAAATTTCTTTACCCAAAACCAATTTCAAATCAAATGAAATTTTAAATAAAAATCAAAAGCACATAAAAGCAAAATTTCTCTCTCGACCACTTACAATCCAGTATGAGGTACTACAGCCATGACACCTGCTTGTGTATTCTGTGGTAAAACATGTTATTCTCATGAGTGCCTTAAAAGCCAAAAGATGTCTTTTAAAGGGAAGAGGAAGGCTATTTTAAGGAAAAGCAAAGCCTGTTTTGTATGTCTGAGAATCACGCATCATTCAAAAAATTGCAAGGCTAGCATTTGATGTATAATTTGTGAAAAGAAACATTGGATTATATAATGCACTGAATGATCTAATTTTTTATAAGAAAATTAAGTCAGAGACTCCTCACTTTGATGAAAAAGCAACCAGCTTTCAAAGAACCAACATCAACCAGCTTTCAAAGAAAATTCCTCGACACTAATTAGAGGAGTATTTGATGCACCATGTAAAAAGAAAACATTTTCTTCCCTAAAATGACTGTTCGGCAAAAGAGCCTAATCTTCTAGAGCCGCTCCCAGTAATATTGCTTAAATTAAGAGAGATGATGATAAGCAATATTTTAGATATAAGCATGGCATTCTTACAAATGTCCAAGAATCAAGATGACAGAGATTTTCTACAGTTTCTTTGGTGAAAGATGCTTAACAGTCAGAGATAAAAGAATTTTGCCCCTACCATGAGGTATTCAGACTAAACTGCAGTCCTTTTCCTTTAGGAGCTGTCACTGATTCATATTTGAAGCAGTATCAGGCACCTCTCAAAAGTACTGCTGGGAAACTAAACACTTCCTTCTATGTTGACAACTGTGTGACTTTGAAACATTCTGAAGAAGATGTGAATTTTTACATTCAATAGGCAACTGAAATCATAGCAACATGTACATTTCAATTTAAGAGGAATGCACAAAACAGTAAGAAAGTAAAAGAAACTGGAGAATCTAAGGTATATGAACTATTTGCAGCAGAGAAGACTCTTATGCAGGTAATACAAGAAGAAGTACATAACATGGAAACCATTAAGAAATTGATATCAATAAGTGTCTTTATGGATGGAGAAAACATCATAAAAATCAAGATCAATCTGACTGAAGGAAAAGATCACACAAAATTTTATGTATCCTCTGCTGCTTCCAAGGAATCATAAACTCATAAAATATATATCATTGAAGATATGCATTTAAAGATGCACCATGCTGGCTTACTTGTTTATGATGTCCAAGCTCAGAGAAACACTCTGGACATAAAAAGTATAAAAGCAATTTGAAGAGTTACGTCCTGACGCATCAAATGTAGAAAACATGAAGCCAAAAGTATGGAGAGATGTTATAACCCATTGAGAAAATTTTCCCTCTGGAGCTATCTGCATCAGTTGAAGAGGATCTGAATAAAAAAGGAAACTTTCCTTGCCTGATAATCTCTTCCTGACCACCAACAAACCAAAAACCTGTTGTGACAAGAAGTGAAAGGACTATTAAGTTACTTCTAGATCTTTAAATTGAACTTTTAAGCTGAATTATTAATTCAAACTAGGAACTTTATTGCATATTTTGATTACTAATTGCATATTATTAATAAAAAGGTAGGAGGACTGGGATTAATTGTAATTGCAACTGCAATGTAAATGTATATACACAATTATTCTAGAAATTTTTTCTTATGGACTGTATGTGTCATAACTTATAATAAAATTGTGTAACTAAATAAATAGTGTTGTTTATTGAAAAGGGATTACAAAAAGAAAGTAGATTAGCAATCTACCCATTCTCTACAAGTACCTTTCTGATAGAGGAAATCAATAAATATCACTCTTTCATTAAAGAACAAATTTAACAGCTTTTCAGTCAATGCCGCAATATGTAATATAACAGTTTGTATGGAAGTTGGATATTTCTATCAAAGACCCACTCATTGTTGCCAGTTAGAAGAAAAAATATGATGTTTCATCACCCATCACAAATCTGGAAAGGAAAGCTGGTCACTCTAATACTGCAATAGAAACTACAATGCTAAGTGCATTCAAAACCTTTTATGTATTTAAGAACCAGCACTACTGTGTGCCTATTATTCTGCATCCTAACTCGTGTACCTATTATTCTGCATCCCAACTCCCTATGTATAACTATCTAGACTGTGCTAGGATTCAAAGTAAAATCTTATTCTAAGAAAGATATAGTCATCCTACAATATGTCTTTAGCTATATATCTTGTTTTATGAATTTAAAAACTGATAACTGCATTTGATTACCTAGGTCTCAAACCATTCAACAGGCTTCCATAGTTTTGAAGAAAACATATACTTGGGTAATTCTTTAAGAAACACGATTTTCCCTACATGTCCCAAGCACCCAATAAATACTGATTGGTTCATTTGCTGATAAAAAGCATATAAATGCATGCTGTTTGCTTTCTGAAGAATTCTGCATTTAAAACCATTTTCAGGCAGTACACTCATCAAGCAAAACTATCATCTAACTGAGGGCAAACCAGTGCTATGTAACATAACTATCGTACAGTCTTACCTTGTTACATGTTGCAATGATTCCCTTTTTCCACCTAACATCCAAGGCTACATCTGATAATGACTGGCTATTCCACAGCATCAAGAGGGAAATTTTTAGCAACATCGTCTACTTTTCATTTGATCAAACCCAATATTAAAGCATTGAATTACTTTTAAAAAAAAATTGAAGCATTTGCTCTAACCTGTATTTCTGGAGGTCCACCTTCATCTCGAATGAGCAGCAAATAACTTTGGCCTTCTATAACCACTTCTTTCTTAAACCTACCACCTATAAGGTATGCACATCATTATAAGGAAAAAATATAGTAAATTAATTATAAGGAAAATCAAAGATACATAAATTAATTATAAACAGAATCAAAAATATCCTACCTTCAGGAGATTCATCCTGCATATAGGAACCTGTTAAATACCGATGAACTAAAGCAGATTTTCCACTTGAAAGGCTTCCCACAATGCCCTAAAAATCAAACATTTAATATCAACAACATATCAAACATTTAATCAAACAGAAATTTAAGTAAATATTCTCTAATTATGCCACAGTATATCTGATACTTCATATTTTAACATTTGCTGCAAACAGTACAAAAATGAAGCATTAATTTCAAAATCAGCTCCTTTATTCAGTGATTTTGGAGCAACAGCTATATAACCAGACAGTTTCTAAATGCAATTACTTGGATTATTAGGACCTTTCTACTTATCTGCACCCCCATGATAACTCATACAGATACTCACTGGCAACTTAGTGAATTAGCAAGAAACATTTGCTTGAATATCTTTACAAATCATAGTTACAGTTCCATTCATAAATAATAATAAAAAGAAGCAATTCAGTTGAAATAAATAATATGAGCAAGAACAGAAACCATATGGACAATATATTCTTAACATATACATTAAAATACACCATTTAAAATACTAAGCCAGCTTAAGCAGGAACCTTCGCGTAGTTTTCGACTATGTTACTTTGAATTTGAAATTTCAACTTGTCATTTTAAATACCCGGAAGTGGCGCCATTTACTTGTGCACAAAAGTTGTATGTTCTGTTCGTTTCAGTAAAAAAGGTTATTTCAACCTTCTTTAGACTTTAATCATAATATTTTATATCGAGCAACAACTCACTAGTCAGTATCAGAAGGGCTCTGAGGTACTAACATATTACTCTGATGACTATGAAATTTGTATACCATCAAAATACAAAATCTGGCAAAGATCTAGCCAAATTTGAACCAATCGTTGCTATGGAATTCAAAGGAATTGACATCTTTTTATTTAATTAACACATTGACTGCTTATCACGCGCTTGCGCGTGGCGTGGCGCTATCGCCGAAAAGCCAATCACGCGCCAGCGTGTGATGTGGGGTGATGTCTCAGTAGCCAGTCACGCCCTGGCGCGGGAAAATCCACTTCTGATTATTCATTTTCTAGTTCATTTGGCATTGCTTTCAGGATATTTCTGCTGGTATTGGCATGTATTATGATTAGAACTATCTGTAAATATCGTGGTTTCGAATTTAATATTTTAATTTTTGATGAAAAATAATCTTGTGATATAGTTATACAGAGATAATTGTGCAGGGCCTTCGCGCCCCAAAAAAAGAAAAGTCAAATAATAAGAATTTAACGATGATGAATTGCAAATTTGTTGGCTGAGCTATCCGAGTGATTTAGTTACGACAGTGACAGTGACGAAGATTCATTCCTCCCAATATGCCCATGATATTTCGGATTCTGAAGATGAAGATGATGAACAAATCACAGGTGCAACATGTCAGCGCGTAATTCCGCTATAATGGAAAATTTACTTGGGAAAATGATTCAACATCCATGAGCAGTTTTCTTTCATAAATCCGAGTGTTTGCTCCAACTGTTTCAGGTAACAATCCTACAGATTACTTTCGGCATTTTTTCACCGACTGGTATCTTGAGGAATAGTGCTGAACTAATGATTATGCTATAAAGTACTTTTTACCATGAAAAAAAGAAACATTCACGAATCAATGCCTGGAAAGACACTACAAAAGAGGAACTTTTACATTGTGGGATTTCTTACATGGGAACTATACGAATCAACCGCATACAAGATTATTGGAAACCGATTCACTGTTGGTTTACATGTTTTTTCTGAAAACAGAGCAGGAATCGTTTTTTTATTCTGAGGCATTGCACTTCGAAAAAATTCCAGAGCAGAACAGATTCCAAAGGATCGATTATAAAATAAGAAGTATGGTAAATTTGTTCAACGCACGAGTACTGAAATATATTACCCAGGACGAGAGATTAGTTTAGATGGTCGATGGTATTATGGCGTGGACGACTTATATTTAACGTATATACCAAATAACGTCACAATATGGTATCAAGCTGTACATGATCCACCCCTGATGGTAGGTTCTCAATTTATGGTATATACAGGTATGTTGATGATCTGGTGGAAAAGGACATGCACAGAAAGTCGTAATGAATTTACTTGAGGGAATATTGGATGTAGGGCATAGCGTATTTATGGAATATTATAACAGCTATGAACTGGCAAATGTCTTCTGATAGAAAACTCATTGTACTGGGACAATTAGAAACAACAGGAAACATTTCGGAAGAGGTAACAGAAAAAAAACTGAAGAAGGGGCAAACTGTAGCAATATACTAATGGTGTGTGATTCTAAGTGGAAGGATAAGAGAGACTCACTTATATTTCCAAGATATAAAATGATATGGTGGAAAAAAAAAAAAAAGGTGAAGTTAAAAAACAAAACCACTACCTGTAATTCAGTAAATAATTTATGGCAGGTATTGATAAGCAAGACCAGATGCTTGCTCATTATCCTTGTGAAAGAAAAACGATTAGGTGGCCACGAAAATTTTGTGCATATTTTCAAATAATGATGTCCAATTCCACTTTATCTACAACAAGTATTCCAATAGAAATATGTCCTTTATGACATCGTCTATCCGTGATAAATGCTTATGAAACAGCCATCTGTTCATCGTGCTTCTGGTGTCATCCATCTGATCGGAGCATGTACTAAAAACGCGGGAAGAAAAAAGATGGAAAAATACTGCGAAAGCAGTGTAAAAGCTGTTATCGGAAGGAAAACGAAAAGATACCATATATGTGTGCAAGGTTTGCGAAGGATCTCCCGGATACTGCCTAGATTGTTCCAAGATTACACACAAATAACACTCTAAAATGTAAGGTATAGCGTAAAAATGAATTTATTACATGATAATTATAATGGTATTATTAATTAATAATACCATTATAATTATCATGTAATAAATTCATTTGTAATATATATGTTTGTAATACAGATTTATATAAAAATAATGCATACTGTCACTTATTTTACTTATTTTGATTCACTTTTTGCAATCACGCGCCAGCGCGTAGTTAAGAATCCATGGAAATGCTTAAATAATACTAGATATAAAATCATATTCATTAATAATTTTAAATCATATTTCCAATAATTAGTATGTTGCTTCTGGGCACAATCTACTGCGATGTCAAGCAATAACTATCAACCCCATCTCTAGAGACTGGCAGTCAATGTGTTAAGAACTGGTATTTGACCCGCCTTTGTTTCTGCACTTCGTAAGAATACTTTTATTGATTTCTACTATTTTCTTAGGCCCTCCAATTTTACTGGAAGCTCTCTTTAAAACTCTCCGAGTATAAACTTTCCACAAGTAATTATTATAATCTATAATTGTTTTGTCAGCCATATTTAACTTATTTTGTTGATTCTGCTTTCCCTGACAATTTTTTTGAAATTGCAAAAATCATACATTTTTTATTTTATTAAATACAACAAACGAAAAATCAAAATATGGTTTTAAGTTAATTTTTATTTTTTGAAGGGTAAAAGCATTTATTTTTAATATTAGATTACTATCCCAAGTTATCTCGGGCAAACGAAAAAGTTAAATATTAATCTTTGTATGATAGGTTTTGAACAGGGACAACATGGTGATACCTGACGTTCTACACTGTATCTGGCTCTTTTCTTAATGGCTTACCGCTGGAATCTCGTTCACGAGCACAAAGTACAGTCTCGTGGGATTTTTTTTTTTCCCCCACGTTTTCATAATCACTATCTAAAAATCATCGCTTTTGATCTTCCATCATCGCCATTATTTTTTTTTCAGGCTTGCATCCTTCTTTATACATTATAATCCACAAGCCAATGTATACTTACAATAGGGAAACACGCGATCAGTCCCTCCAAAAGACCCGCAACCAACAAATTTGGCAAACTACCAATCAAAGCTAATATTTCCTTTCATTTCCTCCAGACGAGTAAAACCGTGATAAAAATCTACTAACAAATTCTGCTTCGCCCGAGTTTTCTCGGGATAATAATTAACTGCAATATATATGAACCCGAGATAACTCGGGATAATCAGGCAAGCGGTTAATACATGTTATTTTGATGGTAGGATCCCATATCTTTGAAAATAATCCAATGCTTGCTGCTTTGTAGAAGGCAGACCCAGAAACTTATTTATTCATTTATTTTTTTATGCAAGAACATATACAACACTAACACTTAATTTATATTCTTATTCATAAACATAAAATGCTGCTTATCAAGAATAAGTAGGGGTTGTATCAAATAAAAGTACAGATGTTATGAATATGCTGTTATATCATACGTATCCCTAATTATCACTAAGTCATGATGGTTTGCAACAGCTTCAAAGTCAACTGGATAATACATTACTACTGACTTTCATTTAACATTTCACAATTAAAACTCAATAAATATTGAAACTGGAGGCGCAGATAATCAGAAAGAACTGTTTTATTGTTAAAACTACATAGCAGGAAGTGCTTGACAATGGCTCTGCATGACTTATTAGCAATACTGTACAAATCCCCTCATAACATAAATATCAACAGCTTTTATATAACCTGAAAATATAGAAATTCTCCCCCTTTCTTTTTAAATTCCTGATGCAAGAGAAAATTAGCAAACAAAGGAGGAAGCAGCAGACTGGACTGAAATTTTATCAAAGTAAGTGAATTAAACATGAGACAGCAACATAAAAATCACAGATGGAACCTTACTGTATGATCTGTTCATAAATCAGTTAAAACCCAATGGCAGCTGTGCTTCAGCCGCCCCCCCCATCAACTACAAAAGGGATACATCCAAGGAAAGAGCAGGTCGTTTAAGTGTCTAGACTTGCTATAACTAGTCCTGTACAACCAAAGTCATAGGTAGCCAGAAATGGTAGCACAAAAGACAAATAAAATCTCATCCACATACTACTGGCCCATGACTGCTCTACATATCATTAATATACTGGATAGCTATCACAGGTTATGATCAAGTCAGAAGCAGAGGAGTATGTTGCTAGAACAGTAAGAATAGGATGTATTGCTGGCCAGGGGGGAATCCATAGCTGTGCAACGGCTCGATTAACCATTAATCATGTGCTTAGGGCAT